TACAGGCATACCTCAGAGATACATTAACAAATTTCAGAACCTATGTGGAAAATCTTTAAAGACAATTTTGATTAAACCCATTTTCATGATACCTATACCCCTTGATGGTGGAGGACTTTGCAGTGAAGGAAGGGGATTTGTATAGTTGAAAAGCACATAGATATTTTCAAAGATACTGTTCTTCTTTTTTTTTTTTTCTTTTTTTTTTTTAATATTTTATTTATTTATTTGAGAGGGAGAGAATGAGAGACAGAGAGCACAAGAGGGAAGAGGGTCAGAGGGAGAAGCAGACTCCCTGCTGAGCAGGGAGCCCAATGTGGGACTCGATCCCGGGACTCCAGGACCATGACCTGAGCCGAAGGCAGTCGCTTAACCAACTGAGCCACCCAGGCGCCCCAAAGATACTGTTCTTCTTGAGTGGACTGTATGATGGATGATGTAGTATCATCGTACAGTGTTCTTGAGGGTGATCATGCCTTTAACTCATAGGAGATACATGCTGATACATTTGAAATAACAGATCATGATGTTTGCATTTAACCCACAGAGTTAATGGTCAGGAAGACTTTATATAGAGAAAGATAAGGCAAGTATGGGAAAAATTTAACAATTTGTAAATGTAGGTGAAAAGCACAGAAATGCTTTATTTTATGGCTCACGCAAACTTGATACTTTGTTTCTTATGTGGAAATTATTCTGTTTACATTTTCTGTCTCTACCAAGTTTAATTTCAATAAGGTGTATTTTCTTAGGAAATTATTTGCTACTTTTCTTTCAAACATACCTGTATCATGTTGAGCAAAAATAGCCTTTTTGATTTTTTTCATACCTTGTTCCAGTGATTGTTTCCTCCTTACTGTTTCTCAGTTTGGGTAGTTGAACTTTCTTTCCCTTGTTTTTGTTGATTAGGGTAGTCAATGATTTGCTTTCTTTGTTAATCTTTTCAAAGAACCCGCTTTTTTGTTTCTTAAAGATTTTATGTATTTTTTAAGTAATCTCTACACCAAACGTGGGGACTGAACTCAAAACCCCAAGATCAAGAGTTGCATGCTCCACTGACTGAGCCAGCCAGGGGTTCCAAAGAACCAGCTTTTTTGACTTAACTCTTGTTCTACTGTTTTTCTGTTTCTGCTCCATTAACTTCTAATCTAAGTAAACTATCCAGAAATGAAAGAAGACCTGACGCACATATTCAGAGACCACCAGCAACCTGGGAAAACTGATGTGGAATGGTTCACTAAAGACCGCCTTTAATAAAACTAGTAGACCTTAAAGATGAAGAGAAAGGTTTTTTGTTTTGTTTTGTTTTAAGATTTTATTTATTTGACAGAGGCACAGTGAGAGAGGGAACACAAGCAGGGGGAGTGGGAGAGGGAGAAGCAGGCTTCCCCTGGAGCAGGGAGCCCGATGCGGGGCTCGATCCCAGGACCCTGGGATCATGACCTGAGCCAAAGGCAGACGCTTAACAACTGAGCCACCCAGGCGCCCTGAAGAGAAAGTTTTTATCTGTATTATTTTAAATTTATTTTTGTGTTTATCTGTTTTTATCTTTATTATTTCACTCTGTGCTTTCTACTCCATTCTTTTACATTACTATTGTTTTCTTCTAGTTTTTTTTTATTTTTTGAGTCAAGGGTTTACTTATTTTTCATTCTTTGTCACTGATACAAAACATTTGATGCTATGAAATCTCTGATCAGTGTGTGTATCCCATATATACTCCTAAGTAATATTTTCACTATTTTGGTTTAGAACTTCAGCTTTGGTTTGTTTCCTTTTTCATCAAAGAGCAGTTTTTACTAGAGAGTTGTTTGTTTTTGAAGTCCCAATGGAAGCTTATTCTTCCCTAATAATTTCTAGTTTTACTGTAGCATTACCTGAGCATTTTACCTGTATCAGTTTTTTTTTTTTTTTAATGTTTCAGGCACCCTTGAGATGGAAGTGTCTTTTCTATTACAAGTTTTGACATTATAAAGATATATGTCTTCTTGGTTGTTGTCATTAAGTCTTCTACACCCCCAACTTTTTCCTTTTTGATCTTTCTTGAAATACTCTTTTGAATAGTGTATTTCATTTTTTCCTTGCTTTTCTGAGTTCTGCTTCAAGGGTTTTTGGACTCTAGATATTCATACTGTGATTTTCACATTGAAAGTTGAGGATTTTAGCCTTGTAAAGTGGGGTTTTGGGGGTTTTTTTTGTCCTTACTGATAACAAGATTGCATCTCTGCTTCCTTATTGTTTCCCTTTGTCTGGAATAAAATGGCCCATCCCTTTGGTTTTAGCTTTTTTGAGTCAGTTTTTATCATTATGTTTCCCCTTTATAGCATCAATTTGGATTTTGTTTGTGACAGTTTGAAGTCATTTGTTAATTGATGAATTAAACCCATTCATATTTATTAATATGATTCATGTTTCGTCTCATTTCTGTCATTTTGTTACATTTAATGAGTGTATCACATTTACTGAATTATTCTGTTTGGTCTTTTTTTCTTTTTGGAGGGAGTCAATTAAATTTTTATGGTTTTGTTCTTGTAGTTACTTTTACACTAATAATTTTTTATACTGGCCTTAGTTGCCCATTTCCTTATTTAACTCTATTTGATTTTTTAGCTTTTAGTGACATTCTTTAGGCTATTATTTATGTGGCTATCTCTGAGCTTATTCTTATTTCTTCTTTTCATTCCTGTTTCCTATAGGTTTTCTAATTGCATTATTTCTGCTTCACTAGAATATATAACATTTATGTATATATGTGTGTGTGTGTGTGTGTCTGTGTGTGTGTATACACACACACACAGACACACACACATATGTATGTATGTATTTAAAGATTTTATTTATTTGAGAGCAAGAACGTGAGAGGAAAGAGAGCACGAGTGGGGTTGGTGCAGAGGGGGAGGGAGAAGCAGACTCCCTGCTGAGCAGGGAGCCCGATGTGGGACTCGATCCAAGGACCCTGAGATCATGACCTGAGCCGGAAGTAGACCCTTAACCAACTGAGCCACCCAGGGGCCTCTAACATTTATATATTATTCTTCTATTCTTGTTCTCAACTTTCTTTTGGTCTTGGGCCTACAGTTAAATTATCCACTGCTCAGTTTTTCTGCCAGTGTTCCCTATCAAATCCTTGATTCCCACTTTTTTTTTTAACTTGAAAATGTTCCTCCACTGAGCCTTGCTTTGTTTATTGGTGACAGAATCTATTGCCAAATCTACATTTTTATTTGTTTATTGAGATTTAGTCTTTTTGCCCCAAGGATGTTTCTTCATTTTTAAGGTCTAGTAGTTTTACTAGAGTGTGCCTTAGAGAAGACTGTTCCAGGTCAGCTTTGCCCAGGTTCGTGGTGGTTCTTTAGCCTGTGTGGATGAGGTCTCCTTTTCAGCAGTTTTCTTAGATTATGGCTCCTTTTTGTTTGTTTTGTTTTTAAAGATTTTATTTATTTGAGAAAGAGCGCGAGAGAGGAAACACAGGCAGGGAGAGTGTGAGAGGGAGAAGCAGACTTCTTGCTGAGCAGGGAGCCCGATGCGGGGCTCGATCCCAGAAGCCTGAGGTAATTATCTGAGCCAAAGGCAGACGCTTAATGACTGAGCCACCCAGGCGCCCAATATTATGGTTTTTAATATTCATTGTTTTTTTTTTCTCTGTAGAGAGTATAATCCTACATATATGCATACAATTTTATTTTTAAATTTTTATTTATTTTGCAGACTACCTTCTTTATCCTGGATATTCTTTGTGAACCAGTTCTTCTTTCTTTGGTTTTATTGTCATTCTTTCTGCTCTGTTGTCATGCCTTTTTTCAGGGCTATTTATTAAAATTTCAGTGAAATCTCTTTTCTCTTTGGACTCTCTGTTAGTCTGCCTGGACTGCTATAACAAAACACCACAGACTGGGTGACCTAAATAACCGAAATTTGTTTTCTCACACTTCTGGAGTTTATAAGGCCAAGGGGAAGGTGCCAGCAGGGTTGGTTTCTGGTGAGCCCTGTCTCTTCAGCTTGTAGACAGCACCTTCTTGCTGTAGCCTCGCATGGCTTTTTTTCTGTGCACACAGTGGGAAGAAGCAAGTTGGTGTCTCTTCTGCTTCTAATAAGGATGCTGTTCCTATCAGATTAGTGCTACACACTGATGACCTAATTCAACCTTAATTGCCTCTGTCTCCAGATATAGTCACATTGGGGATTAGGGCTTCACCATATGAATTTGGGAGAGGGACAGTTCAGTTCATAACTGGCTCCTTGTAATTTAAGTCTATTCTAAGATCACTTTGTCCTTCTTACAGTTTTATTCCTCACCTGGATCAGTGCTTGCATCCTCAGTTCCCATTAACTACAAGTCCCTTCTGTTGGAGTTCCCAGTGGTCTGGGCTATCACGTATCAGAACTGAGATGTCATCTCAGTGTTTTCCCACTCGTAGTGGGGCTTCCCCTTTCTGGGAATGATTTCATTTGTATTTAATCATCTCTGAGTTCCCTGTTTCTTCTTTATGTATGGTTGCCACAGTCTCTAGCTGACTCTCAATGGATGTGGGCTCATTATCAGTTATTGTCTGTGTTTAAATGTTTCTTTCCTTAGTGGCAATTTGAAGTTAGTAGTATTTTGTATGTCCTGGTTATGCTGAAGTCATGGGTTGTTGTAGGTAATTTTATTTGCTCTCCTTATATTGATCCATACAGTTTTTTGGAGGCTAGATGGACACATTCAGATTTTAACGGGTGCTGTTATTCATCAGACACCAGAATGCAGATGTATGTGTTGTAATAGCCAGTTTCCGCTCCCTTTTCCCACTATGCCAGGCTTTTTGTTTCTAGTTTTCATTTTTTGTTTTTCATGTCAAAACTCAAGAATAGAAAGAATATGTACCTACAGTTATTTTCTTCTCTGGACTAGACAAGAAATCCAAATCAGCTCTAACTAACATAGGGCATTTGTATATACATTGCATTCCATAAAAAATGTGTTACTATTCATATGTAAGGTTAATTTTTCTTATTTTTAGAAATCTGGAAAACTGATCACAAGAAAGAAAGGAGCCACGAAAACCAGCCGAAACATGTGTGGGAAGTTGCATTCATCAATAATAAAATGCTAACTGAAGAACGAGGTAACGTAGTAGGAAAACCACATAACTTGGACACAAATTCTTTTCCTTCCAGAAAAACCCTCTGTCAGTGTGACTCATGTGGAGTGAGTTTCAACTGTATTTCAGAATTGTTTATCAATAAGAAAAACTATTTAGGAAAAAAGACTGATGAATTTAATGCCTGTGGAAAATTGCTACTCAGTATTAAACACGAGAAAACTCATACTAGAGAGAAAAGTGAATTTTTTAAAAATGGGAAAACTTTCAGTCATGATGAGGACCCTATTCATCATGAGAAGATTCAAACTTTAGAGCAAAATTTTGATCATAACATTTATCAAGAAACCTTCCTTGAAAAGGCAATATTCAGTACATACAAGAAAGAGATTGCAGAAGGGAATGACTGTGAATGTAATGAATATGGGAGAACCTTCTTTGATAAATCCTTCTTATTCCATCAGATAAATTCCTCAAAGGAAAATCACTATGGATTTAGTGGTTGTGGAAAATCCTTACGTGTGAAGTCTACCCTTTTGAAACATCATGGGGCACATATGAAACACTATGACTGTAATGAAAGTGGGAATAATTTTAGGAGGAATTTATGCCTTTCACAACTTAAAACTCATAAAGGAGAAAAACACTTTGAATGTAATGAATGTGGGAGAGCGTTTTGGGAGAAATCCCACCTCACTCGACATCAGAGGATACACACAGGAGAGAAACGCTTTCAGTGTAATGAATGTGGAAAAACTTTCTGGGAGAAGTCAAACCTCACTAAACATCAGAGGTCACACACAGGGGAGAAACCCTATGTGTGCAGTGAATGTGGGAAAGCCTTCAGCCACAAGTCAGCCCTCACGTTACACCAGAGAACACATACAGGGGAGAAACCCTATCAGTGTAATGCATGTGGGAAAACGTTTTACCAGAAGTCAGACCTCACTAAACACCAGAGAACACACACAGGGCTGAAACCCTATGAATGCTATGAATGTGGGAAATCCTTCTGTATGAATTCACACCTTACAGTGCATCAGAGAACTCATACAGGTGAGAAACCCTTTGAATGTCCTGACTGTGGGAAATCTTTCTGTCAGAAGTCACACCTTACACAACATCAGAGAACTCACATAGGGGATAAACCCTACGAATGTAATGCATGTGGGAAAACTTTCTACCACAAGTCAGTACTCACCAGGCATCAGATCATTCATACAGGGTTGAAACCTTATGAATGTTATGAATGTGGGAAAACCTTCTGCTTGAAGTCTGACCTCACAGTACATCAGAGAACTCACACAGGGGAGAAGCCCTTTGCATGTCCTGAATGTGGGAAATTCTTCAGCCATAAGTCTACCCTCTCTCAACATTATAGGACTCATACAGGGGAGAAGCCCTTTGAATGTCACGAATGTGGGAAAATCTTCTATAATAAATCATACCTAACTAAACATAATAGAACACACACAGGGGAGAAACCCTATGAGTGTAACGAATGTGGGAAAACCTTCTGCCAGAAGTCTCAGCTCACTCAGCACCAGAGAATTCACATAGGTGAGAAACCCTATGAGTGTAATGAATGTGGAAAGGCTTTCTGTCATAAGTCAGCCTTAATTGTCCACCAGAGAACTCATACAGAAGAAAAGCCCTATAAATGTAATGAATGTGGAAAATCTTTCTGTGTGAAGTCAGGACTTATTTTACATCAGAGAAAACACACAGGGGAGAAACCCTATGAATGTAATGACTGTGGAAAATCCTTCAGTCACAAATCATCCCTCACAGTGCATCACAGGGCTCACACAGGAGAGAAATCTTGTCAATGTAATGAATGTGGGAAAATTTTTTACCGTAAATCGGACCTTGCTAAACATCAGAGATCACACACGGGGGAGAAGCCCTATGAATGTAACACATGTGGAAAAACCTTCTCTCAGAAGTCAAACCTCATTGTACATCAGAGAACACACGCAGGAGAAAAACCTTACGATTGAAGTGGATGTTAGGAATGTCGAGCTGCAGTTCAGCACCCATTATACAAGAATTCACACTGGCGGAAGCTCTGTTGACAGGATATCCTGAATGTTCGGGAACCTTCTTCCATACAAACTGGCCTTATTTTACTCCAAAGTAGACTGCAACAAATGCAGGACAGTCTTGTTAAGTAACATTCCATTGAATGTCACCAAGCAAATACTGGTATAAAATATTGCAGATTTTTTTATTTACAACAATTTTTTTTTTTTAGCAAAAATACTAGGTTACGTCAGAATTTATATTAAAGAGAAAGCTTTCAATTTGAGGTATATAACTTAAAGATTATTTTTAGAAGTAATATAACAGAAGTCGTGTTTTGGGTTTTGATGCCATATTTATCTTTAGGAAACAAAAAGTTGTAATTTATAGATGTATATTGTGCCATGTGAAGCTTTAAAAACCAAAAAAAATAAAAAAAAGTAGTAAAATGAAAAAATAGACAAGTTGCAGTCAGACATAGAATTCTCACATGCCCTCCATCAAGCTTCCTCTAATGCTGTCTTCCACAACCACGGTATATTGTCAAGCACAGGAAATTGATGGTACCACAGTACTAAGTCACATATAGTCATTATTTCTACTTCAACAGTTTTTACAAGCACTTTGTGTGTACAGTGTAGTTCTGTGAAATTTTATCACTTAATAGTTTGAGTAACCATCAACACAGGTTGCAAAATCAAAAAGGTATCTGGAGTCTCTGTTGCATTAGGATTACAAAGGAATCAGGATTTCATCACGAGAAGTTCCCTCGTGTTAATAATCATACTGTTTCTGCAGCCCTCATCCTGGCAATCATGAATGTGAAGCTTTTAAAAAGCAGAGTTAAATTGAATAATTAGGGTCACAGCCTTAAATGCTTATGTGAAGTGTCCCTTAAGTTTACAGGACTTATGTATCCACATATGGTTCTTTATATAATAAACCATATGTGCTTCATTTGCATAATGCAACTTAATATAGTTGTGAACAGAGAACAGACACTCCTAATTTAGCATTTGTTACTGTATCAGGCACATCTCCCATGTGTATAAGGGCTGAGCAGCCTTGTAAAAGGAGGCCCACAGAGGTAATACATAACCATTTAGAATGTATAAATCAAAATAACAAAGTGGCAAATAGAATGTGTTCAGTACAGAGGGATATCTAGTCCCTAGTCTCATTTTCCCTGTTCACCCGTGGTCCATGTCAAGCCAGGAGGTGCCTTGAGTGTACATATGTGAGTTCTCTAGTCCTCAGCCTAAATTTTGTACAAACCTTCTGTAAGTAACTGCTCTCTAAGGCAAGAGGCCAGTGTACCCAGAGACAGATCTGCACCCTTGGAGATTTTTGACTCTGAGGAGAAGGTGGGTTGAGACTGGAGCAGAGCCAGAGTAAAGCTAGAGTGGGGCTTTTATTGAGAGACAGGGTATAAAGGTGGTATACTAGATTACACCATCAGTCAGATTACATAAACCAGGTTACACAAATGAATGATCTTAACTTGCACAAAGAGTCTTAAGCTTCCATCTTAGGAAACTAGGATAAGGAGCTGATTAAATCCGGAGTAAGTGAAACAAATAATAATTAGAGTAGAAATCAGTGAAATCAAAAACAAAATAGAGGAAATCAGTAAAACCAAAAGTTAGTTATTTGGGAAGGTCAAACTGATAAAACATTAGCTAAATTAACTAAGAAAAAGAGAAGTACTAGGTGCTAATACCAGAAATGAAAGAAAGTCATAACTGATTTCATCACATTAAAAGGATAATAATACTGTGCATGACCGTGTGTCCACAATTTTCATAACCTACATAAAATGGACCAGTTCCTTGAAAGACACAATCTGCCAAAACTCACAGAAAGATCTATCTGTTAAAGAAACTGAGTTAATACTTAATCTTCCAAATCAGAGTGTCAGGCCCAAATGTGTTTGCTGGTGAATTCTACCAAACACTTCAGGAAGAAATAACCAGTTCTCTACAATCTCTTCCAAAAAGTAAAAACAGAAGAAATACTTCCTAACTCATTCCGTGAGCCCAGTATTGCTGTAGTAGCAAAACCAGGCAGACATTACAAGAAAGGGAAACTGCAGACAGAACTCTATGTCTTGGAACATAGATGCAGAAATCCTCAACAAGTCATTAACAAAGTGAATCCAACTGTATATAACTTCACACCGTGACCAAGTGGAGTTTATTCCAGGCATGCAGTCCTGGTTCAACATTTGATAATCAGTTCACGTAACTCATGACATCAACAGGCAAAAGGAAAATAGTCATATGATCATACTACTAGGTGCAGAAAAGCATTTCACAAAATCTTAACCCACATTCACAATAAGAAATCTCAGCATACTAGAAATACAGGGAACTTCTTTAACTTGTTAAAGCACATCTACAACAGCCCTATCACTAACATCGTACTTAATGGTGAGAAACTAGATGCTTTTCCAGTTAAGATAAAGAGGAAGGAGGCCCCTTTGACCACTCTTTTTCAGCCTCCTTCTGGAAGTCATCGCTAACACAGTATGACAAGTAAAGGAAATAAACTTGGATTTGGAAGGAAGAGATAAAACTGTCTATATTCACACATAACATGATTCTTTAGGTAGAAAATTCGGAGGAGTCAAAAATAGAATACCTTGACACTGGTAAGCAATTATAACAAGGTTACAAGGTACAGTGATTGGGTGGTAAAAAGAAGTGAGCTCTCAAGTAACAGAAGATATGGAGGAACCTTACTTGCACATTGCTGAGTGAAAAAAGCCAATCTGAAAAGGCTTTACACTTTGGTTTCCGTCTAAAATGGATTCTGATAACAGCACAAGTATATGGGGACAGTAAAAAGATCAGTGGTGGCCACGGGTTTGGGACAAGGCAGGGAAGGATGAATAGGTGGATTGTAGAGGATTTTTAGGACAGTGACACGATTCTGTAGGATATTATAATGGTAGATACATGTCATTCATTTGTCAAAGCCCATAAAGTGTAAAACACAAAGGGTAAACCTTAAGGTAGACTGTGGACTTTAGTTAGTCATAATGTATCGTATTGTCTCATCAGTTGTAACATATGTGCCACACTAACGCAAGATGGGAATAACGGGACTGTAGCAGTGGGTGGAAGTGAAGGGGTATATAGGAACTCTACTTTCTGCTCAATTCTTCTGTAACCTTAAAACTACTCTAAAAAATAAAGTGTATTAAATAAACAACGCTGCCTGCATATAGCAATGTAGGTGAATCTGTGAAGGTGCTTTCTTCTATACTTACAAAATTAAAAACTCACATTATTCGGTACCAGTTTTCCCATGGTGGGAGGCAGAATGCATTCTCAGAAATCTTACACTGACAACCACTAAACCTATTTTCAGTTATAGCTTTTCTGCTTTTGTAAGCCTTATTATCTTTTTTGGAAGTATCATAAATTTCTTACCTCTCTTCATAATATCTTGTTTCTATATTAAGGTCTTTGTTTCTGTTTCTGCACTGAAAATATAATCAACATTAGTGAACATTTGAGATGTTTTTATAGTCTTTGAAATATTTTAAATTATAGTAACTGTGGCCTGAAATTAAGGCCTAGTATAATGGACTCTTTTACCTCTGAAACCAAGATGGAATCCCACCACCAACTGAGTGAATAGGAGGCAGTTAATACAGTTGTCATAATGAACAGGATGGCCCGTCCAAGAACAAGGTCACCATCTAAGATGTGGTTCATCTAGTTATTAACTAATTGTTCTTGCCTGACTAACTGGTTCTCTGATATGACAAAGGCCCTTTGGGACAGAGCTGTCGATCGCAGGCAGGCCTGCCTTTTGACCTGCACTGTACTGCCTTCTTTTTGGGGTGTCACTGTGTCTTCCCACCCTAAAAAGCTCCCTATGAGAGAATTGTTATTTGGCTACACCCCAGGTGACTTCCCTTTGGGTTCAGTTTGGCTGTGAGGCTGCCTGCCTGTAAAGGCAGAGACAGCACTGTACCCCTACTGCATTTGTGCCCCACCTACCAAGGGTCTGGTTAGAACTCTCTGGTTACTGCATAGAGTCCGGCAACCATCCCTGGCTGCTCGGGGTGCCCATGCATACCATCGTTTGTTATTGTGCACCACTGGGGTGGGCATGCAGCTGGCCCTTTGTGAAATTTTGGAATGGTAGGACAACCAGCCCCAGGAGAATTAAGCATGGCATTCCAGTTGTCTAATGAGCTGTTGCTCAGGTCAGGGTAGCAGCCTTCCCTCCTCTGCTGCTCCTTCCCTTGCTGCTGTTGCGCACACACCTGATGCCCAGCGGTGTGGAGCTGCACGTTTGTGGTGTCCTATGGCCCAGATGCTGATGAGAAAAGGGACCCCTTCCAAATTACCAGAGGAAGCACCTCAAATGCTCTTCTAATGCAAAACCTTTAGCCAGTGAACCTGGGGTTTGCTTAGCACCATTGTTTTCCAAGGGTCTAACCTTGGAATCATGGAGCTTAATGGCTCTGACCTGGGCTATAGACAAATGACCCTACTGTTTGTGAACCCTGACCGCAGGGAGATGGGCTGGCATTCCCTGGAGGAAGTGACAGCTGCTGATGAAGCCGACTGCTGGGCTTTGGTAGTTTCCCTTCTAACCACGCAGGTCCGTGCCATGGGTGACTGAGTAGAGACAAAAACTGAAAGTTGCGACTTGACATGGCGAGAAATCCAAAACATTCAGAGGGAATTTGTACAGAGAGGAATGAGGGAGAAGATGTGCATGGCAGAAAAGAGGCAGCCATACAGAAGATAATCAGTCAACTGCTGGGCTATTTGGCCAGGCATGCTCCGCTGCCTGTGTCTCTTTTGGAAGGAAACTCTCATCCTCGTGTGTGGAGGGGAAAACGCGCACTCTGTGCCCCAGCCAAGGGGATAATCCGGAAGCGACTTCAGCCCAGGATCTTTAATCTGTAAGAAGCACATACTGCCGTGGAGCGCGCCCGTGGCCCTGAAGATCCTG